GGGGGTCGTGAGTTGGGGGGGGCGTGGGGGGGGGCTAATCGCTTCCCTCTCCGCTTGTTAAACCCAAGCATTAGATGACATGATGTGCTGGCCTCTGGGATGCCGCTTGCGTGTCATTGCTTGCATCTGTTGCAGGGCGTGTCTTGTTCTTGTCGATGTGGACGATTTCGAAAGAGCGCCACAAGTGTGTGAACACCAACGCATGTTTTTGTGGTGTGAAACGTGTTCAGAGCAGCTTGTCCACAGTGAGGCAGCGAACGGGGGACCACACAGGACTTGATGGAACAAAGAAACGCATTCATTTTCAAGTGATAAAGTCCCAAAGTCAGAGCGGGGCATGTTTCATGTCCGGCGTTGCGCTCGATTCAAATGTTTATCTGTGACAAGTAAACTGCTGCCAGCCTGAAAACCCCAAAAATGTTTTGCATATATTCTCGTACGGGGTGGAAGCGTCCTTATAAGAATTTACACAATGAAGTCATTCTTCAAAGGTCTTCAAAATAAACATCGCTCTATTTTCTTGTCAATTGAGGGAGGTGTTTATTGGTCAGAGGTGAATGATGCACCTGCAACCAATATTTTAGGGAGGTATGGATTTTGGTTGTGGTGGTGTCATTTCCAGGCAGGTTGTTGACACACTCAATGACTAATTGTGGCCTAAGCTCCAATCAAGGGAGGCATTTATTTGTCCCAGATGAAGGTAACAAGGGCTCGGCTTTTATTTGACAGTGGCATTTATTTTTCATCGGCGGATGACACACCGTGCAACTATTTGGGGCACGTCTCAATTTGAGCAAGCTGTTTATTTATCTTATGTGGCTGACTTAGCCTCAAATAATTGGAGCATGGCATCAATTTGAGGGAGCAATACATTTTCCTTGAAAAGATGATGCGGCCGCTTAACAATTGCAGCACGGCATTTATTTGCCTTGTGTGGATGGATGGATTGGGCCAGGGTATCTATTTGAAGGAGGTATTTATTTTTTTCTTTGATTAGATGAGGGACCTGAAAATTATTGGGGAATGGCATCTGTTTGCATGGCGTTATCGATTTTATTTGAGGGAGGCATTTGTTTAAGTGGGGCATCTGATAGAATGGCATCATCTATTTGGGAGGTGGGGGTGTCTTGTTTTTTTCTTAAGTGGTGATATATCCCTGAGCCTCGCCGTGCTGTTGTTTTCGGAGGCGTTTAAGGTCCTCCCGGAGAGCCGTGAAGTTGGACCTGACCTGACTCAAGTGCGCTCGTAAATGCCACTCTACGTCTACATCGGCCTGCTCTGACCATGGTGTCTATTTTACGGTCATTTTGGCCTTTAGCGACAAGATAATTTTGGGGGGGAGATCGTCATCAAATTTAAACCGCATCTTGAGGCAGGCGTCTAATTGAGGGAGGTGTTTTATTTTTCTGAAGTAGATGGACACACCCGTTGACATATTGGGCCACGGCATCTATTTGAGGTGTTTATTTGTGGGAGGGGCTTGCAGTCTCTAGCGGTTTTATCTTCCAAGATGTAAAAAAATTTGCCGTCTATTTTAGGGAGGCATTTATTTGTCTGAAGTGGTTCATGTAGCCGGCAATTAATTAGGCCGTGGTTTCCAACAGAGGGGCAGTTTTTCGATGGAGGAGGCATTTATTGAGAGGAGGACTGACACATTGTTTTTTGTGCACAATGGATGATGAAACTCTGCAGATGAACTTTTGGGCGCAAAGTGCCATCCAAGTGTTTGGAGTGGAACTAGCTTGCGGCGAGAGCATAAAAATAAAGTACCGCAACAGCTATCAGACGCTGTTGCCAGGCGGGCACTCGCTGCTAGCAGTTAGCCGCTAACGCTGGAGACTTGTGCCATGTCATATGTGAACGGCGGGATTAACCAGCGCTTTCTGAGGATACTTACATAGCGAGTGAATATGATTTTGGCACTGATACATCCGAACCACGTTCCAACGTATCTCGACGGATAAAACGGATCTGTACGTTATAACGGTACGCGTAAATGGAAAAAACGTCAAATGGAAAATCAATGACGTGAAATTGTGACGTTGAAATGTGAACGTTACAGGGGAGAAAACGTACACGGGGTCTGTTCGACTGTATAATCAAAGTCACGTTAGCCAGCGCGACTGATTGTGAAGGCTCTGGGCGGATTCGATTGACATGGCAACATCGGGTCTTAAATCTGATTGGACAAAAAAAAGGAACATCAACATGCAATACAGCCAAGGAACACTGACACATTGTTTTTTGTGCACAATGGATGATGAAACTCTGCAGATGAACTTTTGGGCGCAAAGTGCCATCCAAGTGTTTGGAGTGGAACTGGCTTGCGGAGAGAGCAGGCGGCCGATTGGGCAAAGCACAACATCAATTACGGCAGATTGTTGTTGGGGAATGGGGGGGGGGCTCCTTTGGTTTTGGCTGGCCCAGAAGCCAGCCCAGCCTGATGTGTTTAGTGCGCGCTGACACGGTCCAGATCTCTGCATATCCCTGTATTTCGCTCTTTGGGGAGTCGGTAGATTGACGCCGCTCCCAGTGAACTCGGGGATATCCGTGTCCTTGGCGGGGCATCATTTTTTGGGGGGGCGTGTCTTGTTCTTGTCGATGTGGACGATTTCGAAAGAGCGCCACAAGTGTGTGAACACCAGCGCAGAGGATGTTTTTGTGGTGTGAAACATGTTCAGAGCAGTTTGTCCACAGTGAGGCTGCGAACGGGGGACCACACAGGACTTGATGGAAACAAAGAAACGCATTCATTTTCGAGTGATAAAGTCCCAAAGTCAGAGCGGGGCATGTTTCATGTCCGGCGTTGCGCTCGATTCAAATGTTTATCTGTGACAAGTAAACTGCTGCCAGCCTGAAAACCCCAAAAATGTTTTGCATATATTCTCGTACGGGGTGGAAGCGTCCTTATAAGAATTTACACAATGAAGTCATTCTTCAAAGGTCTTCAAAATAAACATCGCTCTATTTTCTTGTCAATTGAGGGAGGTGTTTATTGGTCAGAGGTGAATGATGCACCTGCAACCAATATTTTAGGGAGGTATGGATTTTGGTTGTGGTGGTGTCATTTCCAGGCAGGTTGTTGACACACTCAATGACTAATTGTGGCCTAAGCTCCAATCGAGGGAGGCATTTATTTGTCCCAGATGAAGGTAAGAAGGGCACGGCTTTTATTTGACAGTGGCATTTATTTTTCATAGGCGGATGACACACCGTGCAACTAATTGGGGCATGTCTCAATTTAAGCAGGCTGCTTATTTATCCTATGTGGCTGACTTAGGTTCAAATAATTGGCATCAATTTGAGGGAGCAATAGATTTTCTTTGAAAGGATGATGTGGCCGCTAAACATTTGCATCATGCCATTTATTTGCCTTGTGCGGATGGATGGATTGGGCCATGGAAACTATTTGAAGGAGGCATTTATTTTTTTTTCCTTGATTAGATGATGGACCTGAAAATTTGGGGGGAAATGGCATCCCGTTACCTATTTTATTTGAGGGAATAACTGGGGCATCTGATTGAATGGCATCATCTATTTGGGAGGTGGGAGTGTCTTGTTTTTTTCTTAAGTGGTGATATATCCCGGATCTAAATGGGGTGGGGTGTCTATTTTACGGTCATTTTTGGCCTTTAGCGACTACATAATTTTGGGGGGAGATCGTCATCAAATTTAAACCGCATCTTGTGGCCAGATATTTTTGTCATGCGCGTGGATGTGAGCATGGCAGCAAAGTTTGATGACTCGCCGTCAAAGACGAGACATAACTTGACGAGGTCAACGTCTTGGATTCCGTCGATTGGAAAGAACATCTCCCGCAAAACCCAAATCCGTGAAAACATTCAACCCCAGATTAGCATACATTAGCGTCCAGGGATTATTTCCATTTCCGTCGTCTCTTGTATGGAATTTAGAGTGATATCTGCTAATTTTTTTTTTTTTTTTTTAAGAGGGCTGTCTAATACGTGTTAAAGTAAGTTTTTCGAAGTTATCAGGAGTCAAAAGTTGGTTTCTTGAGGGCAAACGATCCCCAAAACAACATGAGGTGACCTTCAAGTGTTGCGTGCCAGCCGGAAGGCGACGACGACAGGAAAATGCGTATGGCATTGATAGGTTTTTGGAAATTAATCCATTTTTATTTGGTTGGTTGGTTTTGCAGGGTTTGGAAATGCAACTTTGAAAGATGTCGTGACAGGTTGTCTGCTGGTAGCCATTTTTGGCTCAAAGTTATTTTTTCGTTGTGGCAAATTTATCATGAGTCTTGTAAATAACTGACAGTAAAAAAATAAATGCACTTTTTAGTACAGGAGGGTTTCTTTGGGCTGTTTTTTTGTTTTTGTACCCTGTGCACGCTCCAGCGCTCTGGAGGAATCCGCGGAGCGTCCGTGCCGTTCGGGATGTTCTACGGACTTACCGGTGGGCCGCGTTCCCAGAAATAACAACCTTCCTGGAAGATGGCGAGAACGGCACCAGATGCGCCCAAGCGAGACGGCTTCTTTCTCTTGCCAGATCACACTATCGCCGCCGCTTTTTTCGACGGTATTACTCCCGTGGCAGCCGATGGACTCTTATTAGGTCAGCTGGAAATGAGCACAATACTCCCCCCTGCCCCAACCACCCAACCCTCCCGGGCTGGGATTTATCCCACATCTCTTCCAATTAGCTTCCGCAGAGATAATTGCGGCAGCGGCGGTGCCGAGACAACCTCTGCAACTGCTACAGTCCTCATCTCATTCCGCACTCGGCAACGGGATCAACATCGCTTAATCCAGCACCCCCCCCCAAAAAAAAAAAATCACATCCCGTGAGCCCGCTTCCGCTAAGTACTCGCATTCACTAAGCAAGTTTGGAGAAGTTTTGCATGTGTTGTCATTTCATCATCTCTAATGACGGGGGTGGGGAAGGATTAGCGACGTTGCCTTTTTGATCTGGTAATCCTCCACTCCACTCGAAATCCCAAACTTTTTTTTTTTCTTTTTTATCGCCTTTCTCCGCCGGACCGGCTGCTCAGCCACAGATGGAAAATTGACCCTCGAACACGAGACGGGATTCATTCGGGCAATGTCAGGGACGAGGCCTTCAGGCCTTCTTAATGGCGCCGCTATCACATTGCGATTATACAAACAATCAATAGTGCACAACACGGCACTCGTTATGAGGTTACATTTCTTTGGTAACTGAATTTACTTGGATAGAAACCCATTTGCACCATCTGAATGAAATGCCATTCATTGATTCCTGCCCCCCCCAAAAAAAATCCCCATTATTGAAAAAAGACCCCCAAGAGCAATTTAAGGCACATCCTTTTTCCTTTAAATACGGAGACAAAAAAACTAGCCTATGTCCACGTCATTGAAAAATAAAAAAAAATAAAAATAAAGTACTGCAACAGCTATCAGACGCTGGGCACTCGCTGCTAGCAGTTAGCCGCTAACGCTGGAGACTTGTGCCGTGCCATATGTGAACGGCGGTATTAACCAGCGCTTTCTGAGGATACTTAAACAGCGAGTGAATATGATTTTGGCACTGATACATCCGAACCACGTTCCAACGTATCTCGACGGATAAAACGGGTCTGTAAGTTATAACGGTACGCGTAAATGGAAAAATCGTCAAATGGAAAATCAATGACGTGAAATTGTGACGTTGAAATGTGAACGTTACAGGGGAGAAAACGTACACGGGGTCTGTTCGACTGTATAATCAAAGTCACGTTAGCCAGCGCGACTGATTGTGAAGGCTCTGGGCGGATTCGATTGACATGGCAACATCGGGTCTTAAATCTGATTGGGCAAAAAAAAAGGAACATCAACATGCAATACAGCCAAGGAACATGCTACCAAAAGGAAAATGAAGTGAACTCATCCCGACGACGGTTAGCAAAAATTTCTTGTAATTCCCTAAAAATGCCACAAGATGGTGCTCAAACAATCCTGTAAATAGGAATGAATAAATGATCGGTTCCCAAATAGAAATCAAGGCGAATTTGCAAATGCCGACGTGACTGTCAAGTGCTGTGAATCAATTTAATCCAATTCCAAGCAACAACACGTCAAATTTACCTTGGGAATATCGCTCAGTGCTTCTGAAAGTGTTCTGGCCGGCCGCTGGAATCCGATGACAGGTGAGGGCGATAATTCACGGCCCAGCGAGAGAGATGAGCCCCTTCCGAGCCGTCGCGGAGGAGATTAAACGGCTTCTACTTTGCGTGGAGATCTATCATGTAGGGGGGCGACATTAATCAGCAGCCCGGTCGTCCCAAGGTGCTGCCGTTGCATCTGCGGATGAAACAGAGATGACTTGATCTGCGCATGCACACGCGCACACACACACACACACACACACACACACACACACGTCATTTCTCGGAAATTTCACACGTGATCGATAGCCGCGTCCTTCATCGCAGGCCGAGAAAAAGAAATATTCACTGCGTCGTAGGTGAAACATTTCCGGCAGGAAGTCTTCCAAATTTGTCCTTTGACTTGAATTATATTGGTGGGGGAGCACCCCAATCTTTGCCGAAAGATATTTTGTTCTGCGCTATAATTGATGCTTCAGTTCAATAATCATTCAGATGACACTTCAACTCGCTGACCTACGCATCGCCGCATGACCGACCGTTGTGGTGATGATTGCCAATTGCGGCTTCAACCCGTTTGAGACAAATAAATACCGCGACCTCCATCCCTCGGGTGCGCGTGCGGCAACGAGTCGATCGCGGGACGTCGGTGGTTTGAAAATTAGGTCTTCGGTCAAAAAAAGATTGCTCACCCCTGCTTTAGCCTGTCGAGGGAAAGAAATCAAATATAGTCGTGTCACATTTTGGACTCAACCCGAATAGACGCCATCGCTCCTGTCATTTGAGGGGCTCCGCAGGGATTGGATCAGCTTGCGCCAAACACTCAAAGTGTGGCATTGATGTCAGTCAAATTGATGTTTACTATCAAAAACAAAAGTAGAATTGAAAAATGTCGGCGCTTAATCCGCTCTCCAATTCTGACTTTCCAATCGGCGTCACGCTGGAACATTCAGCGATGCCTCGCAGTCGATGCCGTGTACCTAATGAAGTGGCTGTTGAGCGCAGGCTTCATTGTCCGCCGGCTCCTTGTCCCACTTTTGCCGTGTTCGAGCCCCCCCGCCACCACCCCCTCCTCCATCCATCCATCCCACCAGCGCCGCTTGCTTGTATGGGACTCGTGGTCGCACAGTGGAACTAATTAACTAAACCCGGGCCCGCGTTTTATGACGACGACGTCTGAGAGCGGAGAGCGACAGGAGCTTAATTACATGGTGCCGCAGCCCAGAATAGCCAGTCGGGGTTTCGACTGCAAAGCGCGTGTGTGCAGTTTGGAAGCCGCGAGGGGGGATATTAGAGTCAAGTGTTGCATTGTGGAGACTGCAAAGCTTTGCAAAGACTTGAGTGTCATGAGGCGCATCCGCGAGATTTATGGCCTCCTTTATTATGCAGCTACAAGGACTTCACTGGAGGACTTAAGAGGCCGAGGGACAGCGCGGAAGATGTTTTGCGGCGGTGTCAGTCCCCGGGCCAGGATGGCCTTCTTTCTCTGCTGGCCTAAAAAAAAACAAAACAGAACAAGACCTCGAAACCAAGTGTGGTCCTGGAGAGCCCCCAGCCAGTCTGTTTTAGGTCCCCACTCCTCAAAGTCACCTGATTGAAATGACGAGTCACGGATGCCAAATTCAAGTCGGCCACGCTTTACGTGGTACCTTCCTACACAGTTGCAGCGAGCGGCCGACATCCAGCTGTCAACACAAGAAAGCCGCGCGGAATCCCCCCCGAGTGTGGCTAAATGGCGGTCGAGCACTCAGCGGCTCCCGTTTGTTGTCTCCCGCTAAAATGACAACATGCATATTTTTGTCAAGCTGCAAGCCAGCTAATTGCACACTAATCAATCCGGTGGGTGTGGCCCCCGTCTCCCATCCGCAGCGCGGGTTTGTCGGGCGAGCCCGCAAAAACCTCGCTTATCCTCCGTCGCACGCCGCACTCCTTTTCGAACGCCGGCTGCGTTCTGGCGGGAGAGCAAATTGAAGGTTTGAGATCCGCCTTGTGATGGACGGCAACGACAAAACAGGACGTCGCAGCTGCGTAAGCTGCACTTTGACAAATGTATTTCTGCACTACAAAGCCTCGCCGTCGCACGCTGTCCTTCCCACGGTAGGTTTCCCAAAAAAATAGACTCACTTTTACACAAGTGGTAGGTACGTTCCATTTTTTTTGTTTGTTTGTTTTGAACGATGACATTGTCATATGAATTTAACTCCTCAGTGGCCAGCGAGTACAGGGATGGGGCAACCCGAAATTTTGTAAGAGCCATATTGGATGAAAAAATAATAATAATAAAATGTCTGGAGCCACAAAAATTCAAAAGCCTTATATAAGCCTTACAATGAAGGCATCATTTGCTCTATGTATCTATATTAGCCTTATTAGCCTACTATCAAAATGACCAAGTTGCCTACAAATACACAATGAGCCTTCATGATTAAAAGTTTTTTTCCCCTGCAGCGCATCCTGGAGAGCAGGTGTGCTGAACCTTTTTTTTTTTAACCGAAGATCTACTTTTCGATCAACTAACCCGTTCCCCGCACACGCGCGCATATGCACGCACTTACACACACATAATGAGCAACAATCAGAACGGCCGTAAGATGATCGAGGCATGGGACGCACTTTTGCAGCGTGTTAACTATCGTAGCTCACGTGTACCGTTTAGAAAAGCTGCTCTCGGACATCCAGATTCCCATTCTTTGCCAGTACCCTCGATGAAATGGACATAAAACGCTGTTGCTGTTCTTTTTTTCCTTCGACAGCCACCTGCCTGGCATCCAGTCCAGCTAATAGAAACGTGTGTCGCAGGCTATGACGCATATCTTCGGTGACAGAAATGTTGAAATGTAATATTGATTCGACACATTTTTACAGCATTGGAAAACGTTAAGAATGTTTGTGTCATGTTGTGTCCTCTTACAGAAACCATATTCAAACAAAAAATATATTTCCCTCTCCCATCTTTTTCCATTTTCAAACGTTTTTGAAAAGGCTCCAGGGAGCCACTAGGGCGGCGCTAAAGAGCCGCATGCGGCTTGCCGACACCCAGGCTGGAGGATCGTCATGATAATTTCCGTTTTTGACGGCGATATCGTTGCGGCACCACAATTTTCGTCGTTGCATGACAATCATCTTGCGGGTACCTGTGCAATACTATCCATTGACGTGATGGCACAGCCTCGTTCATGAAGTAGCGGTGAGGTCCATTTTTGTCCATTTCATCGGCTGGAACAACACTTGAAATTGCAAGCGAGAGACGTTTTTGCTCCATTAATAGCTGCTTAGGAGACGTCCTGGTCTCAAACCAGCTACCAAAAACAGGAGTCGCTCTGTCCAAATTTGGAGAGCTAAAATTTGTGCAGGAACTGATGATGGGAGACCCAAACGGTCATTTACTAACCAGAAGAGTCAGCGAAATCCACCTCTGTCAGGAATAGAATCTTCTGCTCCAGCACATCTGGCAAAAAGAGCCACAGCCATTTCGGGATTCAGAAGCACCTCGATGCACCATTAATGGGACTAATTGTGGACTAAGGCCTGGTACCCACCTAGGAATTTGTTTCTATCTTGATGGTACGGACCCACACATGAAGATTACCACCAAAAAAAAAAAAAAAATCTGTTCCACCACTCATCCAGCTTCTCATCATAATACATAAAAAGAGAAGTTGTTTTTTTTTTCTTTTCAAGTCAGATGCGACAGCCAGCGTCTGGACTGAGGCTTCGTACTGACTTGGCCACTATAGAGCGCCTTGTTGTCCACTGTGGGTGAATGCACGTATTGGAGATAAGGAGGAAGAGAGAAGTTTTTGTTTTGTTTTTTTAAATCAGGTGCGACAGCCAGCATCTGGACCGAGGCTTCGTACTGACTTGGCTGCTTTAGAGCGCCTCGTTGTCACAGCATGGAGAAGAGCCATGATGACACAGTGCTGAGTATTCTACCCAATGGAGGCTCGAAACTGGTCATTTTTGGCAGTTCAAAGATGAAGTTATGTGGAGGGCATCAGGAAGATGTAGCATCCATTTTTTTTTCAGGTCGTAGATCAACGGGGTGTTTGATTGACAGTTTACAGTTGAGCGGTGGACACACCCTCACCGTATAAGAGCAAAGAGAACGTTTTTGTTTTGTTTTTATATGATTTTGAAGCTCAATATGCTTGCTAATTTATTTTTATTATTATTTTATTTTATTTTTATTTTTTTTACAAAACTCTTCTCTGTGGTGTGTCAGTTTTGGACAACATTAGTACACTTTATTGGATCTTCAAAATAGCACTTTTGGGAAAACCCGACAGGATGTTTTTGCACTCACTTCCTTGAGGCTTTCCCATGCATGCTTTTATTTCTCTCTCTTTTCAATTTGACTTCGCACAAGACATTCTGGTAATTAAAACCAAATGAGACATGCCGCTATTAGCCTCACAGCTGCTTCTGTTTAATCCCGTGCAAAAAAAAAAAAAAAGCCTCCTGTTCTTCTTTTTTTCAGGTCGTAGATCAACGTGGTGTTTGATTGACAGTTTACAGTTGAGCGGTGGACACACCCTCACCGTATAAGTGCAAAGAGAACGTTTTTGTTTTGTTTTTATGTGATTTTGAAGCTCAAATTGCTTGCTAATACATTTTTATTATTATTATTATATATATATATTTTTTTTTTACAAAACTCTTTTCTGTGGTGTATCAATTTTGGACGACATGAGAACACTTTATTGGATCTTCAAAATAGCACTTTTGGGAAAACCCGACAGGATGTTTTTGCACTCACTTCCTTGAGGCTTTCCCATGCATGCTTTTATTTCTCTCTCTTTTCAATTTGACTTCGCACAAGACATTCTGGTAATTAAAACCAAATGAGACATGCCGCTATTAGCCTCACAGCTGCTTCTGTTTAATCCCGTGCAAAAAAAAAAAAAAGCCTCCTGTTCTTCAGCTACCAAAGTTATTTGTCATCAACGCGACAAAAGCAGCTTTAAATCGGCTATCAGAGATCTAAAAACAAAACAAAATCTTAGAAGCCCGACTTGTAAATGAAGCGTCTGGAGTGCGACGCTGGCAGGACCACATCAACAAGCGCCACAAGCGTCCCTTTTAGGAACTTCGGAACCAAAAACAACTCACATTTCCAAAGTTGACACTTGCGGAAAACATACAAGTCAAGTGTTACCTGATATTTTGCACCCCCCGTGTCATAGGTTCCACCAGATG